TTTTTCAGATCTTATTCATGTTAAATTTTGTAGTGAGGCCTAAGGTTATCTTGCATCTGATTTCAGGTGTAGAATTACCATCTTGAACAATTTTTGATCCAAAGAAGATAAATTCTTGAACTACTTAAATTTCCTCGTTATTTTAAACACCTCATGTCCATTTACAACTGTTGTCATTATCTTTGTTCTTCTAAAGTTAAGACCCAATCCTACTTTTTCATTTTCATCCTTGATTTTCTAGATCATTTTTTCCAGGTCTTTCTTATTTTCAGCCAACACACAGTGTTGTATTATCTGAATATCTCAAATTATTTATGGTTCTACCTACAATCTTCACTTCCAATTCAGGCAGTTTCAGGTCTATTTTCCACAGGATCACTTCAGCATACAGATTGGATAAATATGGTGATAAAATACAGCCTGCATTGACCCTGAACCAATCTATGTTGCCATTAGAATGTTCTCATTTTTGCCTTCTGATAATTGTACAGTGATCTGATAAATCTGATCAGATGGGTTGGGACACCAAGATTACACAAAGTCACCATAGCTTATTGCATTTTACATGGTCAAAAACCTTTCTGCAATAGATAAAACACATATATAATTTTTTATATTTATGTGGCTTTTTCATAATCTATCTAATATTGACAGTGTGATCTTGAGTGCTGTGCCCCTTTCTAAAGCCAGCTTGTAAATCAGGTAACTCTTGATCAATGACATTCTGTTGAATGATCTTTAACAGAATCTTGCTTGCATGAGAAATCTATGCAATTGTGCAATAGTTGGACAGTTTGTCTTACTTTACTAATGGCATAAAAACAAATCTTTTTCAGTCCTGAAGCCACTGACATTTAGTCTATATCTTTAGACACATCTTTAGGCAGTGATGATGCCAACTGGCTTTAGTAATTCTGTAAGTATTCTATCAATACCTAGAGGTCTCCAGTTCAATAATTTCTCCATGGCCCATTTTACTTCTTCTTTCAAAATGTTTGGTTCTTTATTAATTAGGCTGTCATCATTGTCATCTTGATAGTAAATCAAACTGAGTCTTTCTGAATATTCTTTCCACCGGTTCTCGATCTTCTGCTGGTCACTTAGTACATTCCTGTTACAGTCTTTAACCATTCTTTGCCATGCTGAAAAGCTGGATTGAATCATTTTCACTACAAACATGGTCTCAGTATGTCCCTTCCTGTTAGCTTCTTCCAGATGATGCCAGTGCTTCTCCCAGTGCCTATTTTTGTCTTTCCTGTTTTCACATTGGAAAATTGCTTTTCATCCCCATCACCATTGGCTCTGCCTACCCTATGCTGATCAGCTATTTTGATGGTGTCATCAGATAGCTATTTGTCTGTTCTCTCTAGTTTTTGGCATGACACACACTTTCCAGCAATTTGCATGATGCTACTAGGTAGGTGAGATGCTGTCTACATTGAATTTTGGGGACATAGTACCATTTTTTTACTTTGTCCAGCTTGAGTTTTCAGCCACTAATAGCTGATGGTCTGAGCTACAATCAGTGCCAGGAAGTGCTTTAAGAAATGCAACGGAATCTTTCAAGCATTGTTGACATAAAATGAATATTTGATTTCAATATTGTCCATTTGATGCTGTCCATAGTGTATAAATGTTGCTTTTGTTGAATAAATGTGTTCATTATGCTGAGTTTCCTAGCAAAATTGCACTAGGCAATCACCAGCTTCATTCTATCTACATAGCCCAAACTTGCCTATTATTCTTGCAACTTCTCCTTCTCCTACTTTTGCATCGAAATCATATCCATTTCTGAGACATGTTGAGTATTGTCATAAAGTATTCTGGTGAGATTTTTTTACAGGGTAGTTTATCATTGCTTTCCCCAATCCTCCCCATTTATCTGGGCTTGGGGCTGGCATATGGTTGATGAATTAATATCCATATGCCTGGGTATTAAGAATTAATTAAAATCAATTCAATTCTGTTAAAGATGCATTGCTCATTGAACTATGAGTAGAATTATGTGCACAAAAAATTGTTCAAATTTTGACTGACCACTTTTGATACTGTTGATCTAAAATACAATTTAGCACTTTACAACATAACACACCATAATTATCTTAATCATATTAGACAATACAGTATCTTAGCTTTCATGACATAGTAGGCACATTGGCTACAGTTTCATAACACTAAATCCTAACAGACTATAATTTGATATGATGTACAATCCCAACCACCATTGAATTGTACATATAAACACCTTCATGCTTCCCAGCCTTCTATTAGTTTCATTCTTAACTTTCAAGGAATCACATAGTTAATTTTGGAATTTCAGTGTAATATGTATCTGATTACTTTTATATGACAAATGAATTTTTGCTTTACAGGATTATACTAAAGAATACAAAATAATTATTTTGCAAGTATGACTGCTTGTGAGTATCCCATAAATCAGTGGTCCCCAACCACCGGGCCCCGGACTGGTACTGGTCCGTGGATCGTTTTGTACCGGGCCGCAAAGAATGTTTGCTTGGGCGCCGCAATCTTGTTTCAGTGTCCTGAGTTGCCTTAGCATGCTCGGTTAGTTAAGAAATGCCCTACCCAGAGAAGGAAGTGGTGCTGGAGGAGGAGGACGAGGCAGTAGTGGAGAAGCAAGCAACTCAGGGCGCTACCACTGTGGCGGCTTTGCCTGCATTTCCGAGGCTTCGATGTTGGGAGAGGCAGCAAGGGCTGGAAAAGGGGAGAGCTGTGCAAGGCTCCGTCTCCCTTTCCTGCCTGCCCGTGGGTGGGTGGGAGGAAAGAGAGAGAGCCGGGAGCAATTCAAGGCTAGAAAACTAATGGGGAGAGCTGACAACGGGCACTGGGGGAGGGGACTGTTGTTGCCGCCACCGCCGCCGTGTGTGGGAGCCCTGCATCTCAGGGACCTGAGCCAGGAGGCGCGAGAATTGCAAGTAGGAGCTTTTGATGATTTTGAAGAACTCCTGGAACACGGTAGATTGCCGTTTTGTAGGTCTCAGTGAAAGAGTAAGCTTTGTTTCATCTCCTTTCCTTCCCTGGTAATGCGAGAGATGCTTTCTTTCTCCCCTCCACCCCCAAATAATCACTGGCTGTGGCTGGGTTTGGCAGCAAAGTGCTAAAGCAAGTGAAGTGCCCCCAAGGACACATTTCCTTGCCTGTCTCCAGGTGAAGCTGGAAGAGCCTCCCACCCCAGCTTTTCCTCGGCTGCAGATCTGAGCCTCTCAATCCTCCACCCAGGATCTGAAAGGAGCTCCCACTTTGTCCCCCTCCCCTCCCCCAATTAATCACCAAGAGCGGCAGTCCTTCTGCAGGCAGATGCCTGCTGAGAAGCCCCTGGAGTGACAGCCAAGGGGCGCTGCCCCCCAAGGAGAGCAAAGCCCCCTTTCTCCCTTTGCTTCTCCCAGCAGCAGTTGCCCCGAGACCCCTCAGCTCACACACACCGCCTGCTCTTCTGTCTCTTTGGAAGGTGCCAGGTGGGGGAGGCTTCCAGCCCAGAACATTTTATTTTGTTATCATTAAGCATTTACATTTTTGTTATAATTAAATAAGTGTGCGTGTGTGTGTGTTTGTGTATGATGTATGTGTGTGTGTGTATATGTGTGTGTGTGTGTGTGTATTTTCTTAAGTTTTTACGGTTCCTTCATGTATGGTATTCAGCTTTGTTCGGGTATTTTTCCCACGTCATTGTAGTTGTGCTTTTAAAGTTGCAGCAACGTTTCGGCAGAATCTCATCTGCCATCATCAGGCTTCTGTATTGTGAATACA